CCAGTTATGAGTACAGCACTCGTCCCCCTCCTGGGCCACGCACAGACCATTTCCGACATGACTACACAGTATCTCGAGCAGATAACAGATTTCGAACGGACTTAGCTACACAAAGACAGAACACCATGCACAACTTCCAACAAGAATATGAACGTTCTCAGCGCTATGATTATAGTAATCGGGAAGGAATCCGGCCTGGACAATTCCGGAGTCGAACACCAGGACCTGAATTAATGAATAGGTCACTTTCTGGTGAATCTCGGCATGAACCAAGTCGGCCCAAAACCCCGACAGCCCAAGAAATGCGTAGTAAAACACCAATGCCAACTAGCACCCATAACCATACTGGCATTTCTGATTTTGGATTGTCATCTCGCTATCAAACATCAAATATCAGCTGGGGTATGAATGGTCATAGACAAGCGTTTGCCCACAAAGCCTGGGCTTACAGTAGTCTTGACCATGGTCATACTTTGAGAAGGGAAACATCACTTGACAATCCAGCCTATTCTTCTTTTGATCGGAGCTACCCAAATAATAACTACAGCCCTAACCTCCCAGGAGTGCAGGGGTCACCAGGAATAGGCGCTGGACGCCCTTCACGGCAAAGTACTTCTTTTGAAAATGAGGAGCCTGCTCCTAGTAATCTCACTCGAATACCTAAACGTTATCCACCTCCTTCCTCTAACTCATTTCATCATCTTCCTGGTAGCCAGTCTCCACGTAGTCCAAATAGGTTTCCCGATTATGATGAAGGACTCCGTCATATGGAAATGTCTGTCATTTTGAGGAGACAGGAAAGTGGCTTTGGATTTAGAATCATTGGTGGCACTGAAGAAGGCTCACAGGTAAATTTATATTTTTTTTGTCTTTATACTTTGCTTGTAATATTTGTGTGGGTAGTTATCATTATCAGCCCAGAAAGTGGAATTGGCATGCCGAGTTTAAATTTTCACTTTGTTTGGTTTATTTCATGCCTTGCAAAAGATATGAATTGATTTTTTTCTCTAGCTATGAGTTAAATAACAGGATAGATTGGGATTTCTTGCATTGGATCTCAGCCAGTCTAGGAGAAGGAATACTCTGAATTCAAAACTAGACTCAAGAGGGATGGGCTCCAAGCTATCTTACCCTAAACATGTCCACTGCTGCAGGAGGTGTTTCCTCTATGACCCTAATGGATTACAGCATCCATGCTTTTGTAATATTTATTTCACTTTGTCCTTTTATTGAAATTGAAGTTCTCAAAATCCATTCAGTTATTTTTGCTGCAATGGTTTCCTTGATTATTTCCTTTAGTTACTTTTAATCTACAATTTATATAGTTAATGACTTTAATCTTAAGACCTTGGTAGCAGTATTTCATTGTTTGGAATATAAAAAAATACTTGTAGGTTTTCAGTATAAGTGTAGAAAATAGACAAAAATCAGTTAAATGTGATCGCTTTTTTAAAATTATGCTTGATACATAGACAGGTCTTAATGCTCTTGTTGCCACAATACATTGTTATGCAATCTTTGAATATAATGAAAAATATGTATGCTTTAAAATGTTTTTCATTGTGTCTTTCATATAGCAATGTATATTGCATATTCTTTATATAAAATAAAATTAAAAAATGGTCTTGGCATTTATTTGTCATTCAAGTTTAATTTCTGAAAAAATTCCTCTGTTTTTTTTGTTTTTTTTTATATTTTGAGTTTTTATCTGTCATTTGGGCATTGAATAAAATTTAGTTAAATTCTACTTGATGATCAGGTGGTAGATCTACTTTGAGATTAAATTTAGGCAATTACTCCAGAAAAGGAATCTAGCAAGTATGATTGTCATCATTTTTTATTTATTTGTTTTTTACTTGTCCCTTCAGGATGAAAGCAATCATAACTCCATAGATTCCTTTTCTTTATTATCTGTGACTTTCCATGACATTATAATCAATGTATTTAACAATCTTCTATCATCAATCAAATTGAACATTATACAGTGAAATTTTCAGATCAACATTCAGCTAATATCAGGTAATGAACTTATTGATCAACCCTTGTATAACATTAAGTAGGATTATCAGTGGTTATAACTATTACTACTACTACTACTACTAACAACTACATCAAGTTTATTGTATTAAAATAAAATTTTCAAGCATTGAAATATTGTTTTATTACACCATAATTTAAGTTACTTCTAGTATTTAAGAAATATTTGACATTGAACTATGATGATTACTTTGATATATCTTTCAATAAAATTCTAACATTGTTATATAGTCTGTTACAAATACGTATGGTTTTCACTATTAAATAATTAAAATTTCTCAGACACATTTGATTACTTCATAAGAAGTATTTTATTAAAAATGTGAATCTAAAGAAAATATATGCTTTTAATCAGTTTTCTTGTTTTACTTCTATGAAATGCTGTCACCTTACAAAAGTTTTCACAGCTGTAAATATAATTCATTCTATTTTTCAACAAGACTAAATTTATGAATACAAAAAATGATTAAATTACAGTAATTCAAGTTAGAATAGGTTATAGTGTGAATACACAAAGACATATAATAAAATGTATGATGTAATTATTCTAAACTATTTAAAATGTAGTTTGTATATTTATATTATATTATTTTTGGTATAAATTCTGAACTACAGACATAATATTTAAATTTTTATACTGATTTGATAAATAATTGGAAAAAATGTCCCAATGAATTTAACACATTGATTACTCAGAATCCCAAATCTAAAAATATACATCAGAGAAAAAAACAAGCCAACACTACCAGAAGGAATTAATAAAAATGCAGAAGGCCAGAGAATATATCTGCTGGAATGTACTGATAAAAATACTCAACAAAGATGAGAATATTTTTCCAAATAACTTGTGAAATAAATCTTGTATGTAAAATTTATTTCTTCTCTTATTGTACAACCAAATTCAGAGCTTTTTTTACCATCCTTGTTGTTCTGTAATCTAAAAGCTAAATATAAAATTGATTTTTTTCTTTCTTTTTTTACTGCTGAAATTGGAAAAATTTTATTTATAAAATTTTTTTTTAAGAACCTTTTTTGGTTATGTTTTGCTTTATATTTTCTGATTAACAAATGCTTGATTTGAAAATTCTTCATTGTTTTATAACAGCTTGTGATAATTCCTAGCATAATTTATTTAAAATAAATGCATACTATTAAAAGAGAAAGATCAATTCTCAATGAAACTGAAGTGTATCATTCATCAGGTAAATGAATGTAATATTTTTAAATGAATTGCACCATTGAATCCCTAGGGTTTAAAAAAGTTATTTTTTTATTGCTGAGATTATAACTCTTTCACCAATTAAAAACCGCATGTAAATTTAAAATTTGAGTAATCGTATTGGCTTAATTAATGAAAATGTAAAAATTTTAGGTTTTTTAGAAAAATATTGAGACTTATCTCAAAGCTTTAGAAAAAATTACACACTTTAGAGCCAAGTTAGCATTTGTGGTTTGCTTTGATTTGACACAAAATTCATCAGGAACTGTTTCTTGATTGGATAAGATTAAATAAGAAAAAAACAAATATTTTGATTGGGAAAATAGATTTTTTTATTTCATATATAAAGGATTCATTTAAATGCAAATTTAATCAAAATTAATAAAAGTGATTATATTCAATGATTTTTTTCTATTTATCTGTTCTTCTATTCTTATAAATGTTTGTATTTATTTATGTACATTGTTAATATCAACTATCATTTCTCAATCTTCTCATCTTTATGCATTGTTCACTTTTCAATTATATATTATTGTCATCATCCATCTACTTCATATCCTGTTCACATTGCATTAAATTCAAATGAACTATGTCATTTTGAGGAAAATTAATAAATCAATTAGTCTTCTTTCAAAATTTAATTGAATTTTTTTCAAAAGAATTCCAGTTTGAAATATTTTTGTTATATATAAGTATGTGTGTGTGTGTCAGATATAAAAATGAAGTTAACTTTGAAGACCCTATTTGTAAAAGCAAACAAAACATCCTTTCAGACAATACAATGCATTAATTGACCAAATCAATTCTTTCACCATTTCACTAATGGCAGGTTTTGTTTTTATTACAGGTGTCAGTTGGTCATATTGTACCTGGTGGATCTGCTGATAAAAAAAAAAAAGTTTATGCAAAATGAGATTATTTAAGATAGTCATCCAGTGCAAATGCTTCTCACCATAAAGTAGTGCAATTGATGGGAAATGCAGCCATCAATGGACGTGTCTCTTTTTAGATCCGGCATGAAATTATCATCAAAATTGGTTACAGGTCAAAAATGCCAGGTAATCACTATTCAGTTACTTTTTATTTCACACTATTTGCTCGATCACTGTTTGTTGTTACTTTTCTTTTTCTTTTATCTCACCAAAATCTGTCTTTTCAACTTAACCAGCTAATATGTAATATCTTCTGCCATATTTATTCAACCTTTCAAATTTTTTTCTGAATATATTGGCTTATTATTTATATTAGTAAATTGTCTTTATAAAGATAAGCCCATTGAACAAATTAAAGAGAATGCATAAGTTAGATATGCTTGATCTGGTTTAAAAATAATTCTAAAGGTTTCTGCCATTCCATAATCTAAAACAAAAATGAATTTATAGCCCTGAATTATAAAGAAACCAATTGAAAACCTAAGAAGTGGCATATTTAAAAAAAATTTTTTCTAGTGAAAAACAAAACCAAAAAATTTAACTTCTAGATTTTTTTTGAGTTTCATTGTTTCAAGTATTTTTTACATTTTCAGAAATTGAATGACAATACAACTTTGTAGAATGCAGTTAAGTAAAAAATGTTTTGAAAATATTTTTTGAAGATATTCAACATGCAGTTTAAAATTTTTTTTTTCAATTTGAAAATGTTTTTTTATTCCTGGAGACTTAAAAGATGTTGATTCTTGACATTTGAGTAAGGCCACATATATTATTTAATAGTCAACATTTTATCCTAAACCAAAAGTTTCTTCTTTTTCTCTTAAATTTATATTTTGATCTTTTTTCTCTTGCAATTTCAACCAAAATTGCATGTCTATTAACATAGGTACCTCCACGAAATCGCTAAAAAAAGAGCATAGCTTGATGAAAAAGACGCCAACCTTGCCGAAAACTAAATTTTATTGTCTAAATGCTTATGTTATTATTAAGAGGAAAGACCAAAGTTTTTTTTTTTTTTATTTTTTTAAAAATTTTCCTTCTTTTTAGAACATTCTAAATTTTGATTAAAAAAAACCTTTTTCTATTTGTATCAGCGGAACTAGTAAATAACATAGACAATTTTTAGCACGTTTTTTTTTGTATGACACATTAATTTGAAAAATCGTGCAAAAATAGAAATAATTATCGGATGTTAATGAAACTTTCAGAAACTATTCACAGATGATCGAAATTATTATAAATATGTTTTTTTTTATGAAAGTCATGGTAGAAATATTTTTTTTTTTAATATTTATTACCCCCCCATAACTAATTTTATGAAAACGCTAGAAATTCGATCGCATCGGTTTTAGTGATTACAATAATTAAAAGCACAGGGCTTTGAGGAATGCAAATCATGTTTTTTTTTTTTTTTTTTTAATTGGATACGCAGTACCTGAAAAATCAGCTCTGAATTGTAACATACAAAACTCAATAAAACAAAGATATTATTTAATTTCAAATGCTTTTATTTGCTTTTAGTTGTTTTTATGAATATGGACAATATTTTCTGAAAGCAAAAAAAAAAATTTTTCGATGAAAATGAATTTTAATACAATTATTTGTTATTTCATTAATTATAATAGATTTTACATTTAAGTTGTTAAAATATTATAAAATTAGTTAAAAGCCGATCGGCTTTCATAAGTGTCCTTATGAGATAGATCTTTTTTTTAGCGCGTTGTAAATTGTATCATTTTGACTAATCAGAAGATCCCCAGTAATTAAGAAATGTAATTTTGTGCTTATAATCGAGCTGTAATTATAAAATACGGAAGACCAACCAGAATATAATTAAGTTGCGTTATTTGAGTTAAGCATTGTTCTCCGCTGTTAAGGCCTTTACTTTTGCGAAACACGTGTAAAGTTAATTTGATTTTTCAATTTCAACTGAGAAGGGTACCTACAAGTATCAGTATCATCTTATGAAATTTATATGATCTTATTTTTATATTAATCTCAGTTACGACATTTTTCCATGAATGAAATATCAAAATTAATAATAAAATGAATGCAAATACAAATAACAGTAGAATGTAATAAATGTACATAAAATTATAGTATTTTATGTACAATTCTGATAAAATTTCATAAGAAAGGTACCTATAAATTAATTAGATACCTTTCTTAAGAAATATGAAATTTAATGTCACTCTTAACAGTTTTATTTTAATTTCTTTACAATATATTTCCCATAAAGCATCATAAACGTAAAGGTGAAAGCTAAGTACAAAAAAAAAAAAAAAAATTAGACCGCTGAAAGTTTTCGTTAAAAATAACGGGGTAAATAATTTGTTCACGTAAATGTAAATTATTTCACTTTTCTCCTTCCGTAGAACAAATTAGCCTCATGGAATTCGTAAATATATCATTCATCACATGTCAAGAGACGCGAAAGTTTATGACCTGCTTTGTTTTATTTTCAAATTACATCTTTTTGGCACAAAAGCTAAGTTAAGTTTGGTTCAAAATATTTTAAATAAACATTATAATTTCTGATTTTCTTAAAATAAGTTTTGAAAAAATGATAATTGATATTTAAAAAAATTTCAAAGTCAGATTTCCAGTTTTTTTTTTAAATGGAAAAAAATGGTCAATTTTGCTGACTCAAAAAAAAAAAAAAAATAGATTTTTAACGAAAATTTCGGACGTGCTAGGAACGATTAAAAAATGGAAAAAAATACCCCAAAAATACTTTGACCTTTCCTCTTAATAATAACAAACATTTAGACGATAAAATTTTGTTTTCGTCAAGTTTGGCGTCCTTTTCATCATGCTATGCTCTTTTTTTAGCGATCTCGTGGAGGTACCTATATTAACAGCAACAACTATTTTGGTAGTAATGGATAAAAGAAAAAAGAAAAAAAGACTTTTTTTTTTTTTTTTTACATTATTATTTATACTACTATGCAAAATTCTGTTTTTTTTTGTTTTTTGTTTTTTTTTGTTTGTTTTTAACAAAAATGATTAAATAGAATTTTCTGGGATAGAATTATGATTAAATTATTGTTAAATTATGATTTTCCATGTTCAAATTTTTTAAATTATAACATATATTTGAGGTTTAAATTCATTAAAAATCTTTTGTTACATCTGAGATATTTTACTGTTATAAATTATAAATGTAGAAAAAACTTGATATCTAATGAATAAGATTGGTTTTTAAAAACCAAAATTGGTTTATCTTCAAAACAATTTTTTCCTTTTAATTCTTTCCTCAGGTTTTTTCTTTTGGAAAATATTGTTATTTGTTTCTGCTTATTTAAACATGCATATTTTTTCTCATAAACATATTTATTTTTATTCAATGAAGAAGCTTAGAACTGTTTAACATTTTTCACTGGTATAATATTGTGTAAGAATTAATTTTTGCTGATTTTAGCATGTTTAATTAATCATAGTCTGTATTTGGTATATATTTCAAAATGAATTTTTAACAATTTGTTTTAAAGCAACTTTTGATTTTTTTTTTAAATCTTCAGTTCCTATCTTTTATTTATTCAATAAAATCAAATTGTGCTTTCAACTCATTTATTGTTTAAATAATCCTTTTACTTGGATCCAGGAATGGGAAAAATGATTGTCTTGGTTTATCTTTAAAGCAAATTGTTTTTTTATCTGTTCTGATGCTCCATCACTTTGTTCTTCTGTCAAAGAAATTTTCTGAAAATTTATGTTGGAAATTTTTTAGATGAAGAATTATTTTTAATATAATATGTTTTACTATTCAGGCAAGTAAGCAACAAATTTCATCAGCCATTGTATCATCTAAATTTTGTTTAAGGGTCTATCATCATTTCATGGTAACTTATTTCAAATTTGAATTTTTTTTTATTAACAATTTTTTTCTTTTTTTTAATGATAAATTGTTCTTATTTAAAATTTCACTTCTGAAATGATATTTCAAATCACTTAATACTGAATGGTCTTATATACATTTATGTTACTTGTCTGTTTCTTTAAAGAGTTTTTAAAAAAATTTCCTAAACATGGAAAGGAAGAATGAAAATGTTAACAATGGTAAAAAAAAAGATTAATTGAATAAAGGTCTTAATTCAAAATTTATTTAAATATGATGAAATAATGACTCAAGATGGCTGAATGATACAAATTTTCTTAAAACACTGAAATATTTGTTAAAATAAAAACAAAGATGAGCATGCTCACCTTTTCTGTAAAATTTGAATTACTCCCATTTAATGTGCTTAAAAAAAATTTTCCAAAAATGCAAGAAAATTAATTTTTTGATAGCAAGAAAAATATCAAATTTATTTTTTTTTTTTTTGCAAATTTCAAATCATTTCACCCTGCTTCCCAAGGTAAATAATGTTCTAAGTGCAAGGAGCTAAGGGGAAATAGAAGAAAAAAATGAAAAAAATTTAGTGAAATAAAAAAAATAACGGATTCATGAAGACAGATAATGATTGATGTTGAAATTTGAATTGCAAAAATTTGTGACTTAGTATCAAACAATCTAGTAGTACAATTAAATTCTTCAGTTAAAACATTAGTTTTATAAATTAGTTCTTGTAACAAATTTTTATTTAAATGATTTACCATTCACACAGAGCTAAATCACAAAACAAATATTTAATTTACTAAAACAGAACATAAAATATATACAGGATAAACAAAATGTATATAAAAAACAGAAAAAACAGAGTTACTGGGGCAAAAATGTTATCTTTAAGAAGGAAAGGGAATCAAATATCTTTATACTTTTAGGGCTAGTGAAGTAATCAAAATGCTATATTTGAAAATCACAAAAATGTAAATATATTGAATAATTGTTTGTTTGATCAATGAAAATTTGTCAAAATTTATTTACCAAATTTTGTTTAATGAAATTTATCTTTTGGGGTTTTTTTTGGTCGGCAACTTTTATA